ACTAAAACAAATTATTATGCAAATTACCTACCACATTTGAACATACAAAGTAATCATTTGTTTGCATAAGAGTCACATGACAGATTAATTGCCGAACTTTGCCAACATGACTAAACCACGATTTTCAGAAAACAATGCAATGTTTTCACCTGAAATTCATGGGATACACTAAGTATATGTAAAGTCTGAATGTATGCAAATGTGTCCAGGTTGCTTTTAGAACCCGATTCTTATTCGTTTACAGTGAATTGTTTCCCAGCCCAGTAATAAGCTACTAGTGAACACCTTTGATGAGTCATTATTTTATGACAAAGCATGTCCTTATGAGAATTATTTTTAACCAAGGTGCTAATAAGGAAATAATCCTATGCTTACTAGGGGGTTAGCCCCAGTCGACAAGTCCCTATGGTTAACAGTAATATGTTATTATCCAATGTAATGTAAATATAACAATCAAGAGATAGTCCACTGTTAAATATTACTGTTCCACAGCATTCACTGTATATTTACAAATGAGCTACATTTCAATTGCATCTGATAAGACACAATAAACAATCAAATGTATGCCTTATCTAAGCCTCTCCAAAAGACGAGCTTTATTCAAAAATGTAGCAGTGTTAGTTTATTTAATGTTTCAAACACTTACTTGAATTGCATCCCAATAAAACTCTGATTTTTCAATTAACTACAGTGATTCACCTAAGTTTGAATGTTTTTATGTGTTTTGGAAAAAGAAGTACCAGCCAAAAATATATGCCCCTTCACTCTGTCTTAATTTCAAAACAGTGCGCATTGATTGCATCAGCCAAACGTGATCTCGTTTGAATTTGAATGGTTTGCCGACGGCCTCGCTGTGGTTTATGGTTCAATGTCCTGTAGTATTTTACTCCCTTGTTTGTGCTTATATATAGCTCAAAATTACAACCCAACAAGAGGAAATGCAATATAAACAAATGTCAAGAAGAAGAAAATAAAAATAACGTCATGTCTGTCGCCAGCTAACGTCGACCTTTTTTTTACGATTTCGACTTTGACAAATTCCACTTCCGCCATTGGTCACTCTGTTTTCAGAAAATTAGGCTGAATATTTAGTTTTTCCCAATCAAGCAGTTCATGATTACACACATTTGTGGACATGAAATGACCACTGCTGTCAAAATTCAGAAAACAATACCGTAACATTTTGTTCGAAAAACGTCTTAGTTAATAAAATAATCACACTTTTAAAAGTCGCCATTTTATGCAAGGGACGGTGTAGTATATTTTCACCCCCTCACACGTTTAAATTGGTTAGGTTTTTTGTAAACAGGTATTATTTTTGAAAGCCAAAACAACATTTTCAAAATGTGTGTACATAGATAGGGGCACGAATGCAGATAACCCTGACGCAGTTAATCTCGATCCTTGTACTGAACTTGTGAACTCGGCCAGAATTCTACTCGGCCAGTGACCGATCACGGCCAGTGACCGTACTCGGCCAGCATATGTGTTAATGGGTTTGTCAAAGGGTGTCGATTTCAGTGACGCAACAGTAAAATGTTTAAAAAAAATACACGGGCACCAAGGGTTATCGATCTCAGTGATGCAATAGCGAGCGCGATTTCAGTGATGTCTATCGTGCTTTATTAATAAAAAAGGGCTGTCGATCTCAGTGATGCAGAGCGAGCGCTGTGTCTTTTGTCATATCACAGTAAAATGTTTAAAAAAATACACGGG